GGCCCCGCCGTCGGGGGGAGCGGGCAACAGATCCACCGCCCCCACGCCGATCCGAGACGAGACGAGACCGCTCGCATCGCTGTCTCACTCCCCTCGCTCGCCTCCGCCGCCCAGCTGCAGCCGTCCCCACCTCCGCCCTCGCCGCCCCCACCCGTCCCCGCCACCACCGTCGACGCCGCCGCCTCTCTACCACCGCCCTCCTGATCCCTCCCTCACCGCCACTGCCCTCACCGCCACAACCGCCACAACCGCCACAACCGCCACAACCGCCCTCCGTGCGCAGGTGATGGGTGAGCGGTTTGAAAACAAGTGGCTCATGCAGGTGACGAGACCTCCTCCTGACCCCCTCCGAGACCCCTCCAGGACCCCCCCCAGAGGCCCTCGCGAGACACGCGCGGGCCGGCCCGTCGCGAGGCCACCTCTCGAGCACCTGCGAGAGAGAGAGAGCCGCCACTGCGCCCGCGCTGCCACGGCCGCCAAGCTGCTTCCTTCCCACGGCTGCCTCCCCCGCCCCTCGCTCGCAGCTGTCTCTCTTCCCGAAGAAGAAGTCGGAGGCTTCGGGCCAGTGGGAGTCGACCTTCGAGACGATCGAGGAGTGGGTGCCGCCGCCGCCCGAGGAGGCGTGGGACGAGGAGGACGACGACGAGGAGAAGTGGAAGAAGGACGTCGAAAAGTCCGAGGCGGACAACTGAGTGCTTTGCAAGCGCCGACGAGTGCCATGTTGCGCGCCGCGTGCGAAGGGGGGGGGCGCGTTCGCACATTCAGGATAGCGAGCGTATTGCGCCACAGAACTGCCAACCGATGGCGTGGCTACTGGCCAGAGTTGCGCACCGCCCACGGGCGCAACCGGCTTGGGTAAGAGGCGCATATGCAGCATGTGGTTGTTCTCTGATAGAATGTGTATCTTTCGAGCATACTCGAGTAAAATGTCTCATAAGCCTAGGGGTACCCTAAGCCCGAGGCGAACGCCGAGGTCTCTGTGCGAGGCCGAGGGGGGTGCGGGGCCGGGGGTCGCCCCGCTCGCTCCCGCACGGGCCGCACCGGCGGGACGCGGGGACACCAGCGATGTGTGCGCACAAGGACCCAACGCGCCTTGTACGCGTACAGCACAACACACACAGACGGAAGAGAGAGCCCTGTCTCTCAAACTGCGAGTGCTATGCCGATGGTACACTCCGCACGCTAGACAGCCCTCTCGCACACCTTACACACGTCACAACTCACATCGGCGCGCGTGCTCGGCAAAGATCAAAAACGGAAACCAATAGGAAGGAACCAAAATTCATAGCTCAACTAAGTGATTGGATACATAAGTGCCGATATGCTGTCCATCTAGCCGATCGGAGGAGGCGGCTATGCAGATCATGAGCTGTGAGCGTCAGGGCGGAGCACGGAGCAGGCAGTTGATCCGTCGACATCACAAGCCCCACCGTCGACGAGCTGCTGTAGCGGTCAAGTGATCGACAGCAGCAAGCGCGATGATCACGGCAGCGCGGTGCGCGGTGGTGATGCCGCTGATGGACGAGCGAGGCATCCTTTGGAAGGATTCGTCGGACCTTTTACTTCTGTTTCCGGATAAATTGGTTTATTTTATGTATTTAGTTTAGGTTTGTTGTTGGCAAATCAGGACACAGAGCTCACGCAAATTCACAGTGGGAGGAAAGCGGCGAGTCGCATTTCCCGGGGTCCTTGTGGCGGGCCATTATACATGTGTCTTGGTTTGCCAACAACATACCTAAAACTAAAAAAAATGTCATAGGTCTGTTGTTGGCAAGAGGACAGAGAGAGCTCACACACGATCACAGCTCACACACGCACGATCACATGGACAAACAAACAATAAAAATCTCTCTCACATGGAACGAATCTAATACATGGAGAGGAAAGCGAACGCAGTAACGCGAGTCGCTTTCAATCGTCGATCGAATCTAATAACTAATGTGTCTTTCACACAAGCTCGTACTTGCACTAGTAAAGTAGGTAGGGGACAACGACCGGACCTTTTCAAACTCGGTGTCGAACCACCAGCGACACGCGCACTACGGTTAAGGGAATGGCCAAAAGTGAAAAGAGGGGGGCGTGCCCTCCCCTGCCTTCCCCTGCCCCCCCCCCCCCCCACACCCCCACACACATACACCCTCCCCATCTCCTCCCCTCCACTGCCCTACCCTGCCCTCCCGTGTCATCCTAAGGCCTCTGTGCGCCAGGCATACTGTGGTGCTGGGGGCACTTGGGATGATGACATTGAGGAGTTGCGTTTCTTCTTGCTGGTGGTCAACGCATGGCACACGTACAACGCCGAGGTGGTCGGCCCTGGTTTACCGGCAGTTGGTGACGAGTCACGCAGCAAATGGGGCATGTCACACCAGGCGTTGTTCGATTTCAATTTGCAGGTGTGAGTGTGTGATTGGTAGCATGAGTGGTAGGAGTGCACAGCCTCATGCTCCGCATGGTTGGCATGTATGGCAGATCGATGGGTTCTTGGGGTTCTTGGAGGACCAGATGGAAGTGCACGGCAGCGTGCGCGTGCGCGCTAGTTATCTTAGCCAGGTGCATTTGGCCCATTGGTGCTTCCCTTGGAAAGCACATCACTTCACGTGTCTGCCTTTGTGGTATGCACAGGATTCATTGGAGTCCTTATTCGCGGCGATCAGGCAAAACGCTGGTGGGGGGCGTGACGTGAAGGTGATGTACGCATGCCGGCCAGCCGAGATGCAGCGTGCCACCCTGCGGAGGACGACAGAGGCACGCAAGAAAGCAGCGAACAGTGGAGTCAACGATGAGGCGCCAACTACCAACAGGTGTGCATCTCATGTGGCACACACAGCAAGTAGCTCACGTGCCAAGTCCCATCACATCATAATGTGGGGCATCTATGCTTGAATGTGCTGGACAGTTCCAAGAAGAAGCCCAAGCTAAAGGGGTCGACCGCGGGCCGGCGTTGGTGGTTCCGCACGCCCATGGGGTTTGACATGTCATGGAAGTCTCTTCTCAACAGCGGCCCTCGGGACCCTGTTGCCATCTCATGGACCACCATGCGCATGATCCAACAAGCAGACCAAAGTAGGTTGCTCAAGGCATTCCCGCACATTTCACCACGTCATTTCGCTAGGACGGCGTTTGATAGAATGGATGTAGGGCTTGCAAGTGACATCTGTAGCGGGCGCACTGCTTGTGGGTTGCGAAAGTTGCGCGCACCTTGAGACGTGTGAGGCCAAACACGCAGTCAGCTTGTCGTGGCGACTGGCGTGTTATTTTCTTTGTTCACTCGTAGCGTAGAGCGGTTGTGCAATAGTGTCCACATAACCGTATGAGCAGCTCGAACGATAGGCACCCGAGCAGATTGAGAAGTCAGCAAAAATATAGATTTAGATTGCGTTTCTAGTAGATTGAGCTTTGAGGCAATTGTAACTACAGATTATAGGTGCGCCTCGCGATCGCGCCTTGTCCGCGCCTCGATCGCGCCTCGACTGCGCGCCAACACCCCCTGAGTCTACCCCAGGCCATTCTCCCCCAGGCGATTCGTCTCCCCCAGGCGATTCGTCTCCCCCAGCGCCCAGGCGATTCGTCTCCCCCAGGCGATTCGTCTCCCCCCTCCCCCAGGCGATTCGTCTCCCCCCTCCCCCAGGCGATTCGTCTCCCCCAGGCCATTCTCCCCCAGGCGATTCGTCTCCCCCAGGCCATTCTCCCCCAGGCGATTCGTCTCCCCCAGGCGATTCGTCTCCCCAGGAAGACATGGCCAAGGGGGGCGACTTCCGTTTTGCAACTGCCTTTGCGCTCGACTGGTTCCGACGGGGCTAATTGCGACGGCATGTAGGTCTGCCCGAGGGAGCTCAGCTGATGAGACTTCGTCCTCCAGTAGCTAGCTCAAAGACAGCTTTGCAATGAAGGAAAACTCCCTCTTTGCAATTGGTACGCATGTGAGGATGGACCCCACAAGGAGGAGCAAGTAGTTGACCAGCACACCAGACCTTTCGCGCCCTGGGAGCTGGGTGGGACAAATTGTAACGTGTTTACAAGATCACACGCGCGCGCACACCACACACACACTCCGCGTTCGTCCGGATCGCGTCCCCACACCCGACTTGTGTGAGATGTTTTGTCGTTCGTGATGAGTACGACAAAACACCTCACGCAAGTCTCGTCTGAAAGTTCGAACTAACGGCGCTACGGACCATGCCACATGCCTCCACGCCCTGCTACCAAGACACGGACCAACACGCGGCTGCACGCCAAGTGCAACCGCGAGCGCGCGCGCCACATCCAGCCGCTCCCGCGCGGCAGGCGCAATCCTCCGCATCCGCGCCGCCTCCTGCGGCGCCAGCACGGCCAAGATTCGACGCGCAGCTTGACCCTGCGTGCAAGTCGCACGACGCTCAAAATGAGCGCCGAGCGTGTGCGCGGTGGGTGTGCTGGGATGTTCGAGGGCGGCGGTCCTGAGCTCGTCAGAGGTCGCGCTCGCCACGGTGATCACCGCCGTGCCCGACCCTGCCACGACAAGCGCGCGCAGGCAGCACAATCATGCAAGATGCATGACATGAGGGCGTGTCGCCTGGCGACGCTGCTGACTACTGAATGGGGCCAACTTGCAGCCCCTCCCGTCGGCTTGTGCGGCGTCGGATAGACGCTCCAACCAGCGTCATACACCAACGGCATCCCCGCCGGTGTATGACGCCAGTCGGGAGGTCACGACGAGCCCATCCGCGGCGCTGGCGCGGGCCGCACGAGTCGCGGGGTACGGGGCGTGGACCCTGAGTTGACCAGGGGTTGTGCGCTGGGCCCTCCTGCTCGGCTTTAGCCAGTAGACAAGTCTTGTCATCAACAGAGTAGAAGGATCTTACCTCGGGGCTAATGTGACCAAGCGCTGGTAGCGTGGTTTAACCTCACACCCATGGTCTCACAGTGTGCCGGCAGTCGCCGAGCAGTGTCGCTCACACAAGCCGCAGCACAAGTGACTGAGGGCCAGTGAGGGCGAGCCCATCGCTGTGACAGCTGTGGCAGCCGCACAGTAGGCTGTGTCAACTGTGCAGAGTGTGTGAGCAGCAGAGGAGCTGCTCTCCAGGCTTCAGGCGCAAAGAGCTGCATGCCACCGAAAGCGCTGTCGAGGTTCGCCGAGCGCGGCGCAGGTTGGAGGACGCCGTCACCGACGAGCGCGTTGGACTTTTCACTCCGGACAAAGACGGGTACACGCACACGAGCCGCGGTCGTATACCCGTCTTAGCGGCGAGGCGCGGGACCGTCTGTGGCGAAGTGGGTCGCGTCCTCCGATTTCCTCAACTCACGGTCCGCTCCCTCTACTGAAAAGCGTTAGTTACATTACAGTCAGTGGGGAAGGGCCCTACTACTGAACCACCCAGGGCTGCACCTACCCATCTATGTGGCTGGCGCAAAGCGTTAAACTTAAAGACCGACTATACGTGCGTGCGGCTGCCATGTGCCGAGATCACAATAAAAACCGAGATCAGAGGCGTATCGTATGCGAGAAGACGAGCAACCCCTGTGCGGAGCTGTTTGCGCCAGCGCGCCGTACGGTGGTGAAGAGCGTGTACCACCCTGTCTGCTCCGCGTGGAGAGGCACGTGAACGTGGAGGTGCGGCCCGAAACGAAACTGGGAGTCATCTACGTTACGAGGGGACACCAGCCGTGGCTTCTCCTGAGCGCGCCCGAGCGCGCCATGGAGGTGCATGAGTTCCTCCGGCCCGCCGAGAACGCCGTCCTCCGCGCGCCGCGGCGGCTGCCTCGCCAGCAGCACGTGGGCGGGAGCGCCGAGCCAGAGGGCGAGGTCGTCGATCGCCGCACCCTCCATCGTCAAGAAGAGGTACTCCACCACTGCTACGTCCGGGCTGTGTGCATAGACGGTCGCGTTGCTCTGCACGCACGCACCGCTACCGCTACCGCCGCCGCCGCCGCCGCCGCCCTCGCCGCCGCCAAGGC